AAGCCCCTGATGTATGGGATATATATATATACATATACACATATATATATATGTATATGTAAGGAAGAAATTCTTCCCTGTCAGTGTGATGATGCACTGGCACAGGTTTCCCAAAGAAGCTGTGGACTTCGTGTCCCTGGAAGCATTCAAGGCCAGGCTGGATGGAACTCTGAGCAAACTGGTCTAGTGGAAGGTGTCCCTGCCCATGGAAGGGGAGCTGGAACTAGATGAGCTTTAAAGGTTCCTTCCAACCCAAACTATTCTGTGGAGTATTTTTCCTCCCTTACAATGATTCATGTTAGGTGACCTGTTTTCAATGAAATTTTCAGTGAGCTTCAGCACAAGACAAGTTCAGTTGTAGGAAATTGCGTCAAAGAGGGAATCCTTGCTGAAGTTATAAGCTGCTGAAGATAGAAAGTGTGAGTGGAAAGTGGTGGTCAGGGCTAATAACTTGGTATTTCATGTGATAACGTCATTGCTTCATCACACGTAGCTGTTTCCGCTTAAATCTGTTCCTGCACAATCCAACCTATTTTCATGGCAACGCTCTTTGCTTTCACAGCAAATGCTCAGGGTGAAAAAGGGGGTCAGTTTCTGGGCTAGAAAAATGGATTTCTGGTAATTCTACCCTCTCTTGGTCTTTCACAATCTGTGTCTCAATAGATGCATTGGTGGATGTACAGAACAGTCAGAATAGGAACATGTGTCACAGAATTGATAATACCTCAGGTGAACTTAGAAACCTGAAATGTGAAAAATGTGCAACATGAATTGCAGATCTCTGAACTGTCAGTCAGTCGGATCAGACCACAAAATCATAACATCCTGCTGTGATGTAAAGCATCAGTCAATGGAGATTTCTGCTGGTATTATTCAAGAGAGGTGGCAGCAGGGAACGGATTAGTCCCTTCCCATTGGAAAACTCATGAATTTGTAAAAGGCTCCTGATTTTCTGGAGGACTGAAAACGCCATGAATCTGTTGATTTCCTGAAGAACTGGAGACGACTTTGTGTTCCACCTTAGCTAATGGCTCTGGGAGAGGCTTCTCTTGGGACTTTTCTCCACAGAGAAGCTGATAAAAGTGGTTATATGTTGGGTTTTTTCAGCCATAAAAATAGCTTTTACTCTTAAAGAGAACTGCTGGTGCTCATGGAGAAACAGCACATGCACTGGTATTTCCATTCCAGTTGGTGGCTGATCCTTGATGAATCACAGACAGCAGAGTCCTTGTTCCTGCTTCCACTTTTATTTTCATTCCTCTCTCCTGTAATTCTAAAACTGATTTTCCATGAACACAAAGGAGGAGAGGAGCAGGACCAGGTGGAGGAACCCAAATAACATAGTGCCAGTGGAGTATCTGACCCAGCTCTTTCAGGGCAGTCCAAGGTGGATGATCAACCCAATTCTACATGTGAGTCCCACTGGACAAGTCAATGGGAGAGGCTTTCCCCACATCACCTTGCTGGTTACAGGGATGTGGGACTCATTGTGGTGTGCCAGAAAGAGCATTTGGGGATTGTGGGATGTATAGGGGAAAGAGCAAAGTTGGGAAAAGGAAAGGGTAAAGGTGGATCAGTGAGGAACATACGGAGTGTGTACATAAGTGAGCATAGAAAAGCTAAAGACATCAAGCTGGGCGAGCTCCAGGAATTGGAGCATCCATAAGTCTAGGCAGGATGCCAGACCAAAGACTAGAGGGACTTCTGCATATACATGTTGCATACATCTGTATGTATGTGGAAATTCTTCCTGATGTCCAACCAGAACTTCCCCTGGCACAACTTGAAACCATTTCCTCTTGTCCTGTCACTAGCTGCCTGGGAAAAGAGGCTCAAACCTCCTTTCAGGTAGCTGTAGAGAGTGAGAAGGTTCCCCCTGAGCCTTCTTTTCTCCAAGTTGAGCTACCTCAGCTGCTTCTTACACTCTAGACCCTTCCCCAGCTCTGTCCTTCACCACGTGTGTCCACAGAGTCCGTACAGGAGAAATGCTGCTCCAAGGTCCATCTAGTAGACAAACCCAGAAAAAGGGCAGGAAACCAGCACTCCTACAGCATAGCTCAGGCAGGGACTGGGAGCCAAAACTGAGCTGAAATGAGTGGTGAAGGAACCGGTTCCCCTCATGAAGGCTGTGGAGGAGAGCCCATGGTGATGGTGGTCAAGGCCAGTAAGGGTAATCAGTGCCCTCAGGGCCCTTACAGGGCATATATGAGCTTTTCTAAGAGCTCTCCAGAACATGTCAACATGGGACCTCAGCAGAGTAAAAGGCATCCCAGCTCCTGGTTCTCTTAGGTCCCCCAGGATGAATTCCCCATGGCATCTACTCTTTGCCTGCCCAGTCCCTGCAGGACACAGGGATCCCCAAGATGAGGTGGGGGTGGATGGCACAGTTGAAGCCAAGGGAGGTTAAATGGTGTCTTGTCCTCATTTTGAAACCCTTTCTGGATGCCTTTCTTTGCAGCTTGCTGATCTCTGCCATTTGGGTTGTGTGGAAAGCATGTGGAAATGTATCTACACACATGTGTGTGGTGAGAGAACATTAATATTAGAAAGAGTGGGTGGGAAGGGGTAAAAAAAAGCTGCCTGCACAGTTTTTTCCCCTCTTTTTCTTCCCTTATCTCTTTATCTGCCTGAATAAACTCTATTGGCTGATTTGGGATTGTGGTTATAGTATCTGCCCTCCTCTTTTTGAAGGTAGACGGAAGGAAGTGGGCTAGAAAATGAAATATCAGCTCCTAACCTCAGGTCAGGTAAGCCAGCTGTGCTGCAATGGAAAGGATGGTAGTGGCTGAACTTTGCTATAAAAAGGAGATCACAACTGGCTTGGAGACACAAGAAGAGTGGAAGGGGTCTTGGAGGAGGAGAACTCTAGTGCTCTGTCACTGTGTGTATCCACCTAAAGCAGCAGAGAGGTTGTCATGGCTTTTGCCAACTTCACTGCAGGGGTAAGTACTTGTATTTCATATATCAAATTAAGGGTTAAAAGGTTAAGGGTTAAAATATATTTGCTGCAAGACAGAAAACAGAGTGCAGGTCCCATGATTCCTACAAGTAACCCTTTTGGTCTTGGTGGGAGCTGAACGAGGTGCTGAGTCTGTCTGATACAGCTGCATTTGGTGCTTGAGTGACAAGGAGGCAATGGACTGTCCATTATTTATTTTTTTTTTAGTTATCAGCACTACTGATATGGGATTTGGAAAGAGTCCTTTTCTCAAACAATACGCTACCAAAATTGCTGAAATTTCACTGTGAAGTGAATGTCTGTGATTTAAATTTCAAGTTGGTTCGTATTTGCAGCACTGTCACCTCCTGTGATATTCTTAAAATCACTGCATTTTTTTTGTCTTCTTTTCAGGAGTTGGACTTGATGATCCTCATGGGTCCCTTCCAACTCAGGATATTCTATGATTCTATCATTTTGTCTACTGGAAATAGCTCATGAATCTCAGATTTCCTTGAGAAAAGGGTTATTTCCAGCAGATGTGTGTGGATGTCCCATTTTTACTGTCCTGAGAAAGCATATAGCTTGCCAGGTTTTTTAAGGTAGGCACAGGGTCAAATGAGTCCTTACCTCACATTGTAGGTTGTAAGACATTACTATGTGACTTCAGAGGAGGATCTTGCATAGCTTGTTAGAGAGATGCTCTTCCTGGTGCAAAGTCAGCTATGAATCAGAATGTAAATCATGGTTTAACATCTGTTCTGATAAGTTTTACTGGTATTAGTGTGCTCTTTGCTCATGCTGGCCTGTCTCACCCAAATATAAGTATGAAGATAGTCCATTCAAGTAAAGAATTGGCTCTTTGTGCTCTTTCTTGACTGCACAGAACTAATAACACCTTTCTGTCTCCCAGTTCAGATCACTGGTTTTGGTGCTGATTCTAGCCCTCACTGTAAGGAGCTCACCCCATAGACGGTCTAGCAAGAATGGTGCCACTGGGAGGCTGAGTGAAGATTGCCTGACCCAAAAGGATCTCAAATTCCCCACAACTGTGGAAGTTGACATTCGTATCAGCAATTCAGATCATGCCTTTAGGATGATCCATGATGTCAGTAACCGTTCTCTTGCTCCTTGGGATTACAGGTAACTGTTTAATTGTTATCTGAATTGCAATAGCTGTGTTACACAGATGGTTGTGTTTTTTTTGTGGTCAGTGATCTTAGCATATGCCCAGAGTCCCATGAATATTGCAAAGACTTCTTGACACACTCTTAAATTGTGATATTGAGTGAGATTTCTCCAAGAGAAACTGTTTGTAGTGTAAAGGGACATTATTGGAACAGTTTCTATCTTGTCAGTCTTTGTCAATCATAGAATCATTTAAGTTGGAAAAGCCTTCTAAGATCATTGAGTCCAACCATTCCCTCAGCACTGCCAAAGCCACTACTAACACATGTCCCCAAATCCACATTTACAGCACTGCTAAATCCCTCTGTGGTGACTCCACCACTGCCCTGGGCAGCCTGTGCTAGGGCTTGACCACTTTACAGCCACTGTGCCCTCAGCCTGGAACACTGCAGGGGGTTGAAATGATGAAATTAATAATTTCTCAGGGAAAAGAATGATGTCAGGACACTGCAATTTGACTTTTTCCTAATGGAAAGAAATTTCTGAATGCTGAAATTAAGGCCAAACAAGAATTAATAGTCTGATTGCAATCAGTTCTGTTTAACTGGCTCCATGCCATTCATCAACTCCTAAAGAATGATAGAGCAGCATTACCCTCACAAAATTGATTCCATTTCTAGGAAATCATTCTAAAAATGTTGAGGATAGGGAAATTTTTTATCCAGGTCTCATAGCGAGGATACCCAGATAAATAGTATGGTGCTTTTCTGGAGCTAAACACAAAGATGCTGCCAAATCATGCTGTGCAAGCACATAAATCACTTTTGTGTCCCCATTCCCAGGCTCGACAAGGATCCCAACCGCTATCCCCAAGTGATTGCTGATGCCCAGTGCCGCCTCTCCAGCTGTGTGAACTCCCTGGGGCAGGAGGACTACAGCTTCAACTCTGTCCCTATCAAACAGGAGATCCTTGTGCTCCATCGGGAGAAGCAGGGCTGCCAGGTCACCTATCGTCTGGAGAAGAAGGTCATCACTGTGGGCTGCACATGTGCCATTCCCGTCATCCACCACCAGTCCTAGGAGGAAGTATTGGGGGAGACAACATTGGGAAGAAGAAATCTCTCCTATAAACATTCCTCTGGAGAAATTCCACAGTTGCCTACTTTGCATCCCAGGAATTCAACATGCCATTACTCTTCCAAACCTGAGCAAATTACCTCCTGAAAATAGTGATTATTCTGTTGTTCATTTATGGATTTTAGAATGGGAATCACTGGTGGCTGGTGATGGAGGGGAGGAAGAGGGATGGAAGAAAATCTTTGTTTGGGACTCCAAGCAGTGAGGGGGTAAAGCAGTGCTTTTAAAAATGAATTTGCAAGAACATGGAGTGATGTAACAAGGGGGAATGGCTTCAAACTGAAAGAGGGCAAGTTTAGATTAGATATTAGGAAAGAAGTCTTCCCTGTGAGGGTGCTGAGGCACTGCCACAGGTTGCCCAGAGAAGCTGTGGCTACCCCATCCCTGGAAGTGTCCCAGGCCAGGCTGGATAAGTCTTGGGCAGAGAGTGTCCCTGCCCATGGCAGAGGAGTTAGAACTAAATTAACTTTAATGTCTCTTTCAACCCAAACCATTCTAGGATTCTCTGATTATGATTTCTCATTGTGGTTTATACCAGTTTGGTGAATCAAACAAATTGCAGTTTCAAAGGTTGTCCTTGTCAGTAAATAGTTAATATATACCAATGAGTGCTGCCACAAAAAAATTCTTCCTCCTGCACATTCTCCCTCCCTTCCTCATCCCCTACCCCATTCCCTTCTCTGGTCACCCCTGCTCACTAGCATATTACTAGTGTCTGTCAGACAGAAGTGCCACCAGGCCTGAATGTCATTGTACTCTGAGTTTGTGTCACTGCTGCTTCCTGGGAGCAGTGGCTGACTTACTGCAGAGCATTTTGGGAGAAAATTGAGTCCATTGCATTGAGCATTAAAGCAGCAAATAACTAATAACAGTTAATATTTCTATTTATATCTTCTATTTATGTATTTATGGTACTGTGTGTGCTCAGAGTATAAAAAAGATAATTTTAATCTGTATTTATTCAACAACTTATCTGTTCAATAAAATAATATTTTATTTAAAAGAATGTTGTTTTATAGTAGCTCAGAATGAAAGCAGACACAGAGAATGAGTTTCTGCTCGAGTAGCATGCAGAGATTTCAGCAAAGATTAGGTAGTTTCCGGTGCAGTGATATGAGTAAGAGAGAGCAGAAGAGAATTTGCAGCCTAAATAGTTGAATAGATGTAAAAAAGGGGCTGAAAGGGCTGAAGGGAGATTCTACAGGTGGCACTGGGGGAGTTGACAATGATGTCAGGTTCTCTAGGAATGATGGGAAAAGAAGTGGAAGACCTGAAAGAAGCCTACAGGAAAGACAGAGAAGGACTTTTCACAAGAGTTTGTAGTGACAGAACAAAGGGGAATGGCTTCAAACTGAAAGTAGCTTTAGATCAGATATTAGGAAGAAATTCTTCCCTGTGAGGGCAGTGAGGCACTGGCACAGGTTGCTTAGAAAAGCTGTGTCTTCCCCATCACTGGAAGTGCTTAAGGCCAGGTTGGATGGGTCTTGGAGAAATCTGGGCTAGTGAAAGGTGTCCCTGCTCATGGCAGGTGGTTGGAACTAAACGGTATTTAATGTCCCTTCCAACCCAAACTATATCTTGATTCAGTAATTCCATGATATCACATTGCAGGACTGCAGCTGGAATTTGAAAACTTGGTTCATGAGAGCTGGGAAAGACCTGTCCTATCCTCTTCCAGACAAGATGTCATCCTTGTGAGCAACCTTTTCCTCCACCAGCTAGACAGCTGGCTGAGCAGG